AGGGTCAACACTCTAGAGCTGAGCTGGGCAAGACAATCGGACTTGTATATCCCAACCAGCGAGTTGCTTTTTTCATACAGGAGGCTTTTCAGCGAAATCAATATGCACTGGGAACGTTTAGACTCGTCATATTGGAATTTGAAATTAATTCATTAATTAGTTGATAGCTTTGTGGCTGAATTTAGGTCCAACCAAAACATGAAAATTCTTCTCTTGGGTGCTGGCGGAATTGGATGTGAGCTTCTGAAGGTCTTCAGCTCGCTACCTTTGCTTGAAAGCATCGACCTGGTTGATATGGATACCATTGAGGTTACTAATCTCCACCGCCAATTCCTTTTCAGGAAGGAACACATCGGCCAACCAAAAGCGACTGTGGCTGCAATGATAATGGAGTCATTTTCACCCTCCTTACGAGGATTGATCAAACCCTGGGTTGCCAATGTATTCTCGCTGCCATTAACACTTTTCAGCTCGATGACGATCGTCATCAATGCGTTGGATAATATTGAGGCGCGATCTAGAATTTCGCTTATGTGTCTTCTTGCAGGAAAAATGCTTATTGATGTAGGTACTGCTGGTATTGAAGGCCAGGTGACCACTTTATGTGGTGATAGAAAGATCCAGCCAATTGAGTGCTTTAATTGTGTTCCGAAGTCGATCCCATCATCAGACGCACCCATTCCGGTGTGCACGATCCGACAAACGCCAACAACATTCACCCATTGCGTGATTTGGGCCAAAGAGATTCTCTTCAATTCTCTTTTCTGCACCATATATATGCCTCCAGAATCGAAGCATGTCGATCAAGATGGAAGTGAAGGAGAATCAGGGCATTTACCTCGAAATGGCGAATTAATGGCTGAAGCAAAAAATTCTGGCGCCAAAAAAGACGATTCTTCCTCTGGAGATGATCTAGAAAGTTACTTGGCACGGTACGTACATTCTCCCTCGTCTCTAAAAGACCTTCTTCTTCGAATCTTTCACACAGACATTGTTGCTCTCGTCGCAATGGAGAGCCTTTGGTCGAACAGATTGCCACCCTCTCCACTTGCTTTGCAATCTTTTGAAAGATCGAATTTTCCCTTTTCAGCGATCAGTGAGTATGCAGAGGAGATTCCCATTGATGATCTTCTGGGAATCATGTGTTTTTACATTGAAAAGTTAATTTCAATTCGCCCACTTGCGTTCGACAAAGATGATCATGACTCCATTGCATTGATACACGCCGCAGCATGCATTAGGGCTCATGTTTTCGGCATTTCCATGCAATCTCGCTTTTCTGTTCGAGGTACGTATGTCTTGACGTGTTGTTTTTGCCTGGCCATTGATTTCTGTGGCAATTTTTGTTTCCTCTCAAACATGCTTTTCATTTACTAATTGAGTAGCAATTACTGGCCGAATTGTGCCAGCCGTAATATCTACAAATGCGGTTGCAGCAGGGCTTGCCACACTACAGCTGATCCACATGATGAATAGTGGATATATTTCTGGAGGTAGCGAAAGATCCACGGCCCTGTTACCAACAGTCTATTATGCGCCGTGGCGCAAGGGCCCTGGAAGTTTGTTCCTATGTGAACGAATCCAGCCCCCTAACCCAGAATGTGAAGTGTGTGGAATTGGACTGTTTATTTTGAATGTTGGATCGGCGATTTCTACCAAGTTGGCAACGGTGATCTCCCTGATTGAAGAGCATCTTTATCCAGAGGAAACCTTCACGATTCTCGATGGTTTGTTTGGTTTTCCTCGACTATTGTAGGTTCGAGAACCATTTACGACCCAGATTTTCAATCCTTAACTGAAAAAACGCTGGACGAGCTCAGTATGGTGCTTGATTTTCTTTCCATAGGTCTTAAAGCGGGTGCCTTGCTCTTCCTCATTCCGGAGGAAGAGAAGCTGTCCAAGGCCCGGATTTATCTCAATTGTGTTATAGACCAGCCTGATGATGTCTTTCAGCCATACATCGCTACAGTGCTTGCTCTTTCAAGCTCGAATAAACGGAGACGTTGTTGGGAGGAAGATGAAAAGGCCGTTGATAGCGAGGACGATGGATTTGAAATTATTTAATGTAGAAGCAATGACTTGCCAGCGATGCGTTTAATATAAAGCCACTGGCATTTGGAGAAAATATCAATAGGGCCGTTTAATATAAACAAGTGCGTCAGAGACTCCATAATCCGCTGGCAAGCATGTAGATTGCGGACCATGGCAAGGTAGAGCGGTTCCCAATCAACAGCGAGAGCTTCGTAAAGTCCGCAATAGCTCCGCAGAGTGGGACTGGCTTGACCGAAACCATTGCAATGGCAAGCATTTGGATGACCCAGCCAAGCACAGAGATGGATATTTTGAGCCAGCCTTTTCTCCTCGATCGCCTTGCGTCATGTTCGCGTCCTAACAAATATATTATCAGCCCTACTGCAAAAATCCAACTGCTGTTGAAGTGTGGAGCAACGTCGCTTTAATCTTGCCCATCGTGCAAACTCATCCTACGAATCGGTAAAGTTGGCAATTGGTCTACCATGGCGCTAACACTTCGCAAGGCGATGTACTCGCTTTCAAGCTCCTTTTGCATCTCAGACAAATGGGCAGGCATTGGCCTCTCAAACGCACAGATATGCGAAACGAATTGCGAGGAAAACAAGAGCCGGAAACATAATGCCAAGAGAACAGCTGCTACAACAATCATGCGGTGGGGTACAGGTAGGGTTGAAAGTTTAAATTTATTCATTTCAAAGGGGCCGACGTGCAACACGATACATTTTGAGTGTCTCTACAGGCTATTTATTGATGGTATCGGGTTGGCAGCAAGAGGTCGCCTTTTTTCTGCGGTAATCCTCCACGGCAGTTCGTATTGCGTCCTCAGCAAGCATGGAACAATGCAGCTTTACCGGTGGAAGCGAGAGCTCTCGTGCAATGTCGGTATTCTTGATCTTGACAGCGTCATCTAGACGCTGTCCCTTGATAAGCTCGGTTGCAAGAGAGGACGAAGCGATGGCGGAGCCGCATCCAAAAGTCTTGAACTTGACATCCGTTATGCGTCCGCTCAGCTCGTCCACCTTTATTTGCAGCTTCATTACATCGCCGCAGGCTGGAGCACCAACAAGGCCTGTGCCGACATTTGGATCGTCCTTCTCAAGCGAGCCTACGTTTCTCGGCTGTTCATAGTGGTCGATGACATTTTTATGGTATCCAAATTGCTGTCGCCTAGTGAGGCGTAACATGGGCGAGGTGAAGCTCCGCCTCGAAATGGTTGCATTCATTTGGAAATTCAAAAATCGGACAGGTAATTTGAAAATTAAACTCCAAGTTGCAGCGTTTAACCCTAAATTGCGGTGAAATTTTATGAGAAAGTTTACGCGAAATTGGTGTACCGCTAATTATGCGTCTTTTTATGCTAATCCAAGGAAAGGCAGGCTTGGACGGCATGCTCTACAGACAAGATTCCATGCCCGTAAATGCTGTTTGGATGCTGTCCAATCGCTTCACTTCCACATAGCATGTCCTTGCAGGTGACATATAGTTTTTTGGTCGTTCTCAAAATTAGCTTCTCGATTTCGATCACATTTCTTGCAAGATGCGGGCAGGCTGCCGAGATCAGTAAAATAGCTCCGGCAACATGCGGGGCAGCCATTGAAGTTCCGCTTAGCGTCATATACGACCCGTTTTTGTATGCGCCTCTGATGACTACACCCGGTGCCACAATATCTGGCTTGAACCGATGCATCGACGACGACATGCGTAAATAGATGGCAGGCAGCCCGCGCGACGAAAAGGGCGCAATCTCGTCTGAATAGTATTGGGTAGCCCCGACTGAGATCACTTCCGGCTCATATGAAGGCGGGGCACTAATGGACCCGCATTTGGGGCCAGTATTGCCTGCAGAAGCCACCATTACGATGCCGGCCGCTCTGAGCGCAGAAATGGCTTTATTGAAAGCCCAGCTAGCGCATCCTTCCGTTTCCTGAGGACAGCCATACGAGTTTCCAATCACATGTGGTCGCTTGCTGGGATCCGGATTGTTGCCCTATTGCCAAATTCGATTGCTGCTGTACCTCCAAATCCGTGGGCGCTAGGAAGAATTCAAGGCAGTTGAGATAGGTAGAAGTCGATCCCACACCATTGTCCATGTTGCGGCATGCCATCCAATATGCGCCGGGGGCAACGCCGTAGCCTCCGGTGCCTGAAGAAAATATTTGGGATTGCTTACCGACTGCTGTAGATGTGGTATGAGTGCCGTGTCCACAATCATCGCACGGCTCTTTTCCATTTGGCGGGCATCCAAACGACTTTTTGTTGTTTTCCAGCTGTTTTCCACGCATGCCTGCGCCATTTTCGACCTGCAATGCTTTGAAAGTGCCCTCAGATCGGATGCCATCCCACCAGGCATAATCGTGTCTGATGGGGCCTTGTGGATACCACAGATTGGCTACATATCGCGGAGCAAGGATAGGATGTGTCCACTCTACACCGGTGTCAGCACTTGCATAGATCATATCTGTGCCTGTGGTGATGTCCCAAGTGTCAGATGCGCCCATGTAGCGGATATTCCACTCTGAGATTGCATCTTCTTCCATTTTTCTATTTTTCTCGTGTAACAAGAATGCCTCGATCTTTTGGTCAGCCTGAAGCCCCGCATGGCTGCCCTCCATCGGCACCTGCTCTTTCACCACATGCTGCGGCACTTTGAAGGGCCTGTCCCAGTGTATCTCGGCAATGACGCCCTGTTTCGAGGCCAAATATTTGATGACCTCTTTCGTCCCCTTGATGAGCCACGAGTTGGAAACGGCATATGCTCGAACAGGCTCCCAATGCTTGATTTCGGCCATTTCACGCTCCAAGTTTTGCTGGATGTAAGAAAAGGTCAACATCATGAATGGTAAAAACAAAATCAACAAGCAATGAAAACGCTGGGATTTATAACACCTACAATGGCGTGCTCATTTTGATCGCGCAGCATGGGATATATTTCGATGGCCTGCTCCGCCCTGCTTACAAAAAGCTTTTCTTTTATTGATACATTCTCGACAAAGGTGATCAATATCGGATAGTATGTTTCCGCTATTTCTGATCTTAATGTCAGCGGGAACGGCTCCAGGATTGGCATCAGCGCGGGATCGATCTTGACTCCATTCACAACATCTTTCACAAGCAGCAAAAGCCCGAGAGCAGCGACAAGCTTCATTTTCCAAAAAAATATTGCCCATCTTTACCTAGCAACCACCTCTTGCAACCACCTTTTGCAGCCACCTCTTGCGATTGGTAGAAAATCCATCGCCGAGATTAAACACACGATTTTTACATTCTTGCGTGCAAAGTTTAGCTAATAAAGAGGGTCCGTTTGTGGCAGCGTATGAAAAAAGATTGCAGTCACACGTACACATAAGTTGCCACACGTACACATAAGTTGCCACACGTACACATAAGTTGCCACGTTTGAGTTTCTTTATTTGGTGTAATTTGGATGGACCATGATGAACGGATCAGAGGCAATGGGCTTGTCCTGCTGAGGTTGAAGATGGTCGATTTCAAGCAGCACACAGTCAGTGTGCACCAAGCGTTCGATGACGGCCTCGACCTCCAGCTTTTTGCTATAATATTCCTGTTCCGTCTGAAGCTCGTCCTCTATTTGTGTCAGATACCATTCGACTAGCGCAGATTTGCGCAGCCCCATGTACTCCTCCTCACTCTTGGTCTGGAGACCGTCTTCACCGACAGCCTCCATCGCCCTGAGGTGGTAGACTAACAAGTTGCTGATCCGCTCATAAGCCTCCCATGAAATCTGGGTAGCGGCGCCATGGCTCCTGTTCTTTCCAGCAAGATCATCATCCATGGGCCTACTTTTCCCCGTCTCTTCAAGGGGGGCAGTGTTAAGTTGAGTGACATTCTCAATCTCCGAGTGTTGCTCCGGTGTTGCAACAATGGTGGCCATTGCCTCATAAGCAAGTTCAATACTCTCAGACTCGACGCGGATGATGGAGCTTTTTAGCAGACGGTATGCCTCCATCACATAGCGCGGTTGTATCCACGGATCCAAGTGCACACGTGCGAGGGCTTCTGAAAGCCTTATCATCGATTCCAGCTGCCGTACCGTCATCCTGTAAGAGGACTTGTTTTCGTCGCTTTGTCGAAGCGAGACATATCGCTCCATTAGGAGCCGCTTCGCTTCGGCTGTCATTCGTGGCGAAATAGTTCGTGCAAATCGAATATACGAACGAAGCCTGGACTCGCTAAATTCTGGATCAAGAGCTTGATCCTGCAACCGATGGATTGAGAGGATATGCCTTGCCACGTTGTAATCTGAATGCTCGCTATTTTCATCAACAACAACAAAAAAGAGATCAAAACGAGACATGATCGGTGCCGTCATTGCGATGTTTTGTCGGAGGCTCTTCCGCTTATCATAGCGCCCGTGAATAGGATTTGCCGCTGCCAATATCGATGTTCGCGCATTCAGAGAGGCATGAATACCGGCTTTCGCAATCGAAATTGTCTGCTGTTCCATGACTTCGTGAATGGCTACTTGGTCCACCAAATCCATCTTGTCAAACTCATCAATGGCGCATATGCCCTAAAAGTCATCACTGGGGGGCATACTTACATTGTCTGCAAGCATCAGAGCCCCGGCTTCAATGGTGAATTCACCTGTCTCTTCATCCTTGACCACTGAGGCTGTTAGACCGGCAGCGGATGAACTTTTTCCAGATGTGTAGACCGAGCGCGGCATAAAGTTGACCACATATTTGAGGAATTGGCTTTTAGCCGTGCCAGGGTCGCCCACTATGCATATGTTGATATCACCTCGCAAGTTGATATTATCATTGGAGACCTTATGAACGCCACCGAAGAGCATTAGTAGAATCCCGGCTTTGATTTCATGGTGCCCTAAAAGGTGGTAAGACACGTCTTGTACCGAAAATCGAAGGGGCAATGCTTTCTACCAGCTTCTGGTACAAATTTGGAGTATTTTTCATAGCCAAAATGTCCATTTTTTCATCCTGTGAAAAGGAGTCAAAAGTAGGAGAGTAATCAAAATCATCCAGCGAAGAAAGCGCCGCGCTGGCACAAGGTGTCACCATACACGCTGCGAAGGAAAGTTTGTAGGACAGTTCTCGCACGCCTAAAGCCTTGAGGCCGGTAACACTAGAAGCAAACCCATCCTTCTTTTTAAAGCCGCCAAACTCTCTTCCAGAAGAAGTCTCCAGTTTGTTTCCTATCGGAAATAAGATGGTAGGGCTTTGTACCTGGTAATGAGAGTTGTGACACATCAGGAACCACAATAAGGGTGCCTATAAATTCGCACTTATCTCCGGCCTTCACCCGTTCCACAAGATCCTCGTGGATGATTATATCAAGAGTGCGAGGCATACTGCCCATTGGAATGTCCCCTGAGTTCTCCTGGATCCGCAGCTTTTGCCAATTGAGAAACTGGGACTCCTCCAGAAGCAATGTCCAGCTTGACCTGTTTCCGCATACCGGATTGACGCACACTGAAGGCTAATAATTAGACATCAGATGGCAGCAAATTGAGAAAATCGGAGTTCGCATTGGATATCAAAAATACCTCTGTGTACTTGAACTGCTGCTCAATGCCCCTGGCAATGGAGCGGCACTCGTTGCATTGAAAGGTACCTATGTAGAGCTCCGGACGGACCTCTGATGTCCTTGTGATGGTGCCAGTAATAGCAACCAACTCGCCAATCTTTTCCGACGAAAGCTCGCGAAGCCTACATTGTGAAACACGGTTCGTTACTTCAAAAAGACGCCAAGGCCATGGAAGGAGATCCAAAAGTCCCGCCTGCGACGAGATCCAATGTTATCGTACAGATATTCTGGGTAGTAGATCTCCACAACATCCGATACAGCCTGGCGCAAATATGGCTCAAAACTACAAGGTTAATTTTATCGCATACCGATAGTATCCTTCCATTATTGCTCTTGCAAGTACATCATTATAAGAAGTAAGATGAGCAAAGTTTACAAATAAAGTTCTCTTTGACTCATTCTTCATCACGCCCAGCTGTCTCAAGTAGAATGGAACATGTGGTGCAGATCCAGAGGGTGTGGGCGGGTCTCCAATCGAAGATGAGAGGTCAGAAGAAATCCCCATCGAAGATGGCAAGTTAATGGCGGAAGAAGGCGTTGCGTGATGAGCACTCAGCGAGGAAAGAGGAGTATTCCGCATCACAGCAGAATCGGAAACCGTGGAAATTTCGTCAAATTTTTCCAGAAATTGGAAAAAATATTCCTTTACTCTGATGGCGGTATGATCTTTCGCTTTTTCTGTCAGTAAAGACCGTACATTGGCAGAAAGAACGTTAACGGAAATGGACTGATCTAGCGTCTCCATTGCAAACTCGAGATGCTTCAATTAATTTGTAATTAAAACTACAATTTGCAATTTATTCCCTTACAGCGCAGTGCTACTTGATTGAAGACTATTCGACTCTTCACATTCAATGACTGTCATCTCAGTAGGAACCGAATGCCCCACAATTATTGGGGTTTCTTCTGAGGGGGTTTTTCCTCTATATTCGGGGACTAGTGTCGCCATGGATTCGATGTTAGACAATTCCTTGGCTTCCGTGGACGGCTGGGTCTGATGCTCGTTATTTTTCTCCTGATCGGCCTGATGTTCACTCTCTTGTTCCCGGCAAGACGTATCTTGATTTCCCTGTTCGAGACCAGGCGGATGTTGATTTTCCTTTTCTGGACAAGACATGTGTTGATTTTCCTGTTCCCCACACGACGCAAGTTCATCTTTTTCCGCAAGTTCATCCTTTTCCGCAAGTTCATCTTTTTCCGCAAGTTCATCCTTTTCCGCGTTTTCCGCGTTTTCCTCCTTAACATGCTCGAATTTTGGCGACCCGATCTCGCTAATGACGCCCAAATCCGAGCGAAGATTTGGCAGCACCTGGCCTATCACATGCCAAGTGTCCTCCCAGATAAATTTGGCCCACTCTGTTTCGACGTTGGTATCATCTATTGCGGCCTTTAAAATCAACAGCAAATTCTTTAGAAGCTCCAGAATGGCCTCTCTTATGATAAATGAGGAGCTAGCCTCGTCCTCGATGACGATATCTTTCAAGGTATACTGTTCACACAGCAGCCTCAAATATTCCTGCCATTGGGGCACAAACTCCGAGTCGCGCTTTTGCAAAAGGGGAATGCATTGAAGAACGAGCTTTGAAATGATGGAAAAGATTCTAAATGGGATCTCCTCCTCGTCCGGTTGTTTTTTTTCTCCGTCGCATTTGGAGATGCTCCTTAACAGTGGAAATAAAACGAGAGAAAACAACTGGCAAGTGTCGTGGATCGAGGCCCGATCAAGTAACCCGTTGATGAGAATTGCTTTCTGAAATGTGGACAGTGCATTTTGTTTTGAAGAAAGCAACACGTCATCTGAGGCGGCAAGAGATACCAACTGGTCCAAGAACGACGATATCGAAGCATGGAAGCTCGCAATTTCGTAATTGTTTCGCAAGCAGAACATGTGGAAAAGCTTGAACAAAAGGTTGTAAGATTGGTATGTGTATTCGGGGGGTATATCTTCCTCTTTCAGACCCCTAGAATGAAGAAAGAAAAACAGCAGCTTTGTCAGGGAGGAAAAATAAAAATTGCAAAACTGGCCATCCTCCTGCGCATTGTCGCTGGCAAGGAGCTGGAAATAATCCTCGCTGATGATGCTTGTGATAAGTTGGAAGGTAGGCGAGACCGAGGGCGCATGGGACAGCCCCTTCTCCAGTATGGAGCAAACGTGACCAAATTGCTCCAAATTTTTGTTGAAAAATGGCCCGCAATTGCATAGCTTTAGAAAGCCCGAAAACAACTGAACCGCCACGCACTCGAACACTCGCAAATCGAGGCAAGAAATCAAGCCAAACAGCTCGGTCTTTAGCCCAACACACGCAGCATTTGATTCCTGGTAAATAAGCAAAGCATGTGGCGTTACCATCGTTAGATCCATCAGGACTTTCAGCGTCACGATGATGATCAGTTCGCAACAAAAAGAGCGGAACGATGAAAGGATAAGACTGACCTCGCTGATGCTGGGGCTTGACGATGTGGATAGCGCAAGTGATGACAATGAGGTCGTCTTGATCGAGTTTGGAGTGGCGCATAGGATCGATTGCAAAAAGGCAAAAAACTGGTCCCTAAACATGAGAGACCGGAAACGGTGTACCAAATGACGTGCATCCTGGACACATTGATGTGCAGCACGTGGAACAGCAATTCACAGTAAAAAGAAACCAACTCCTTCATGTATATGTAGACCCTGGTGTCATTCTTGGTGAACGAAGTGACATCCATGTTAAAGTGCTGCTCTCCACAAAGTAACAACGAGATGAAAGAAACCACTTCTCTGACGAAAGAAAGAAACGACTCGTCATTGATCGAGGAAGGCGAAAGCTTTGCAAAAAACGAGGCAAAATCGACGTACGAGCCAAAAGACTCCTCAATGAAGGACGTAGCAGCCCCCGGGTACAGGTCGGGTAGCTTTTTCTTGATCATCGCCAGATCTACAATGTTGTTCTGAATGGAAGACATGCCCTCCATCAACAGCGAGTCCTGAAAAACAGTGGAAGGCGTTGACGCTGGAGATGCCAATGGAGATATCACCTGAGCAGAAAGAGCCAAATAGGAAGATATTGTGGAGAGGCCCCATGAAGAAAACAGCGAGGATGGTTGGATCGACTGTGCCTTTCGGTCGAGAAACTTTTTCGAAAAATAGATCAAATGTCTTCCAAGGCAAAAATCATCGATCAGCATGAAAGAGGGAGGCAATCTGCGACAAATGTACAATTGGCCCAGGAAAAAGAGCATCAGCTTTGTGGGAACCAGCGTTGTGTAGTTGGTCCACAATGTGAGCAAAAATTTGACAACGATGAAGATTCTGCGCGTATCCAACGAAGAAAGGGGCCCACTGGTGTGCAGCTTGATCTGATTTTGGATGGGGACCATTCGATCTTCGACTAAAGACAAGGGCAAAAGCGGAGATTTAAGGGCCTCCGTGACAAAACTTTGCAAGCTTGAATCGTAAATCAGAAGCAGCAAAATGGCCTTTTCAAACAGCTTTGGCACACACGCCGCATCATGATGGGAGCCCCAATGGCACAAGGCCTCAAGAACCGATATTGCTTGCGAGAATGTCTTCAATTGGTAGCTGTGATGCACATTGATCTCCAAAACTACAAATAAATAAAGAGCATTGGCAGGTGTAGAGGCTTACCGCTTCCCATGCAAGATATCAGAGACTCTGAAAAAAGGTTAACAATGTCAAAGTCATAGTCAAAGGTGTGAACCAAAAACTTGCCATACTGCCCACGCTTGGCAAACGACGATTTGAGCAGCTCATTCCATCGATAATTAAATTTAAGCTCTCCTTCTTGCTCATCGGGCATCAGAAGCTCCTTCTCCTTGATGTTGGCATATATTTGGCTCTAAATGTTTACAAGAAAAAGTGTACCAGAAAGGAGGGCGAAAAGTCATCCCCATTGTTATTGCCTCGATTGTTTTTGATAAAATCTTCGCAAGACATTCGATGCTTGACGGACGGGTTGTGCTGGTCCGTATTGAGCATGGTAATCGAGTAGGAAAGCACAAAGGCAGAACCTGCAGACTTCAGCTCAGACCCATCCGAGCAATTGGAGTTGAAATAATGGTCCGAAAAGGTCTCCATAATTCGTTCAATTTGGGCGGATTCGCCTGGCAGGCGGAACGTTTCAAGCAGGCGGCGTAGAGCCTCGTCAATGGAGAGCCCCCGAAAGTTGAACGAGCCCACGAACGATTTTAAAATCGCAATGTTTGAAGGTTTGGAAAGATACTCTCCAATCGACTTTTTACTTAGCCCCGGGGATCCTCGAAGAAAGACGCAAATCTCCTCTGGGGCTGCGTTTGCATGCAATACGTGGTTGCCTATATAATTGGAAGGGCAAGCCAGTACTTTGCAGAAAAGATATCCCATCACTGGTGCTTATATTGAATCGATCGGAGGCCTGGCACAGGGTCCATTTCCGCTCCCGTTGCTTCCTCAAAAACCCTGGCGATATATTCACTTGGGGAAAATAGGGAGACGCACACGGAGATGTTGAAGCAAGATTTTCGCGCTGTGAAAAGTATCGAACAAGATACAGGATCGCTTCTAAAGCATACATCCTGGAGTTGTCGAACTTGTAATTGGCTTGTCCCTCAACGGGGCGCAATATCTATCAATTAGCAGACCACACCATACTTCAATGAAAAACTTTAGCAAATCCTCACAGGGATTGGCATTTCTTGATGGGTCGGAATCGATGAAAACAAACAGACTTTCAAGAACCCCGGGTATGTGGATCAGCTAATTGGCATTTAAAATGACATGCTAACCTCAAAAAGGCTTTCAAAGTACAAATCGGTCCTTTCCGAGTGCAGCGATCGAAAGTCCTTGTTGGCCAAGATATCGATAACAATGCAAATGAACATCTCAAGATGGGCCAAAATCGGGTGCTGGAAGGTTTCGAAAATTTTCAGCAAAAGCTTCAACGAAAAATTGAGCAGCGATGCATTTTCCACGTGCAGCAGCTGAAACAAATATTTACAAGTGATGTTTTCGATCAGAGAAAAGATTTCGTCAAACGGGACCGAAAATTCGTAGTTGTCAAGCTCATCCATGATGGAAAGCAAAAGCCGCAGCCCAAAAAGCCTGATTTTGTCTGAAATTTGACGGTCATAAGGCTGGATCAGATCGCTGACAAACTTTAAAATCTCAAATCCAGCAGCCATTCCATAGGATACATTTTCTTTGTAATTGAACCGCACCTCGTATTCGTCCTGGAGAATAAAGGACGGCTCCATGTGCACCTTGTTGACCGGAGAATCGACAAAATTTTCGTGCGATTTAACAGACTCGCCATTGTCGTCCGAAATCGAGTCCGTCGAGCCAGATTCATTGCAGAAAACATTGGCGATTTTGTACGTGTTGTTGCTTGCATGAAAATCCGACAGCGGCTCAACGTTTGTGTTCAGCTTTTTCGTTTGACAAATTCTCTTGAACACCTTCCTGATGACGGAATGAAGATGCCCTTCCGCCTGGGACCGCAATGGCTCCGATAGACGAGTTTGTAAGCAAATCGAAAACATTGTCTCCAATAGCTCACAGACTGCCGAATCCGAGAGATGATCGGAGATCGGGTTGTCCATCACACCGTTCAGGATCGATAGGATGCGCAAAAGCACGGACTCGTCCGTGGCGCTGTCGCTGGATTCAAATTTACACCGGACAATGGACTGAATCACATACAGAAAGCACGAGTTTAAGTCTTCAAGCATGTACTCGTCTCCAAGCTTGCTTGAAGAGCAAAAAATGCCGGCATTGATAAACCGCTCCAATGAGGTAAGCGACAGCCGTGTCAGAGACGCAGAGACCTCTTTAAGAGTCAGAGCTTCGAGAAATGGCAACACGAGATCCCTCATTTTGACCTTTAAATCGGACTGCAGAAGCTTTTGGTCAACGGTGGAAATCGAGTTCAAGGCCAGCTTCAACAGGGGCTTCGATTCAATCAGATCGCTCGACTTCACCATGGTCCATTTGTATTTCTTTTTCAGAATATGCAACAATGAAACAAGTTCGCCATGCAAAAGTAAATAAACGTTGTGGCCGGAGATCATCTAATGGGCTGGCAATATTAAAAATCGCGAATAAATCCGATTTTTAATCAATAGCTCTGGTATGAATTAAAATGTACAGCGTAAATATTGTGTGCATTTTCAAAATACAACCAGCAAAAGCAATCTTTTACACCGGCATTCTCATGCAGCACAGAGATTGATTTTAAACCAGGGTTAGGGTATCGAGTGTAGGGTGTACATACCCAATTGGTTCCCGAATTTTATAAATTAATGACAGGAAAATTGCACAAGCTCGAGTTGGAGAACTTCAAATCTTACCAGGGCGTGCATGTGATCGGCCCGTTTTCAAACTTTACCTCCATCATTGGTCCTAATGGAGCAGGTATATTTCGGGGTTTCTGATCAAGTAGGAAAGTCGAATATTATGGATGCCATTTCCTTTGTACTTGGGCTGCAGTCTCATTTGCTGAGATCTCAAAATTTCAAGGACTTGATCTACAAAGGCGCATCGCCCAATGGGAGCTGTAAATTTGCTTCTGTCTCTTTGTACTACGAGAAAGAGGACATGGAAATGTCGATTTTCTGTAGAAGGTACCGCGATATTCAAGGCTTTCATAGGGTTTTATCATCTGGTGCAACTGAATATTCGATCAACAGAAAAGTATTGAGCTACTCGGAATACAGCTCTGTTTTGGAATCCGAGAACATCCTGATAAGGGCCAAGAACTTTCTCGTCTTCCAGGGAGATATTGAGTCGATTTCTTCAAAGTCACCCAAGGAGCTCACTAAACTCTTTGAGCAAATCAGCGGGTAAGCTGAAATTATGCTCAGATTAGCTCCGATCCTCTGAAGGGCGATTATGAAGTGTATAAAGCGGCTGTGGATTCTGCACTGGAGACATCGAATTTAGCGGCAAACCAAAGGAAGCTTGCTGCCTCCGAATACCGAGTTGCAAAGGAGCAGAAATCAGAGCATTCCAAGTACGACAATCTTTTATTGCAAAAGGTAAGCTTGAACACATTTATTTGCAATAGGATGCTTTGATTAAGCAACAGGCCCTACTCTCCCTGTTTAAAATAGAGTCGTACATCAAGGCAAACGTGGATAAGCTTACGGCGCTCAGACTCGAAAAGGAGTCATCAGAGTCATCCCTGGCTTCTGAAAACGAAAACTTGACCCACTTAAAGGCAAGGATTTCTGAGCTAAATTTGCAAACCTTAAGTGTTGAAAGTGATCTTGCCTCAGTAAAGTCAACGATGGAAAAAAATGACCACAAATCAAGCCAGATCTGTGCAAAAGCTAAATCCGACGCTAAAAAGTGTGCTTCTTTAGAGCAAACCTTGGCATCAATTGCCGAGGATATCCAGAAATCGGTAACTTTTTTGACCTTTTGTATTTTAGGAACAAACAATTGTTCGTCTGCATGTAGAAAAAGACAGATTGCAATCGGTTCTTTTAGCGCTGGAAGAGACTGCCAATTTTGAGCCGAAAGATCGACGATTGTTAGCGGAATACCAGTCAATGTATGTCTGGAACACTGTATTAATTCTTTCTAGAAAGGAAAAAGTTGAACGCGAGCTAAAAAAGGAAATGCTCGAACTAGAAGAATTGAAATCACAGAGAATTCCATATGACGAGCAGCTGGAACGTAGTAAAAGGAACATTGGGCAAATGGAGTTGACCCTGGAAACATATCAAACTAAACAAGAAAAGGCCGTCTCTTTTTTGAAGCAGGCTGAAAAGGCTTTAAGCGAATCGACGGATAAAGGAAATTCAATCAAAAATGAGCTGCAAACCATGGAGACGGAGAGAATCCGGCTTTTGGAACGAGAGTCGGCCCTCACCAGCGAATTGAGAACCACGCTGCAAAATATGCTAAGTCTTAACATTCACAAGCAGACCTCGGAAAGACAAAAAAGATCAAAAAAGTTGGTAAATGACATGATAAAGTTGTTTCCTGGCGTTCGTGGGAAGCTGATTGACCTTTGTAGGCCTGTTCACAAGCGATTTGAAGATGCTCTTGGCATCATTTTAAGCAAGAATGCAAATTCAATTGTCGTGGAGAGGGCTTCCGTTGCTAGAGATTGTATTAATTTCCTGAAAGACCAAAGAGCTCCTCCGATGACATTCATCCCAATTGACTCGATCTCTTCAAAGCCCGTTCCAGAGGTAGTTAAGGGCCTTTTTTCGCATGCAAATCCACTGATTCGAAATGGATTGAAAATAGCCATTGATGTGATCCACATGGAGACAAAAGACCTGTACCCTGCATTCATGTATGCCCTTGGAAATACCATAGTTTGCGACACCTTGGACATTGCAAGAAAAATATGCTACGAAATGAAAATCAAGACTAAAGGTAGGCTTTTCTGGTTGGCTGATCAACCGTAGTGGTAACCATTGATGGCTCTGTAATACACAAAAACGGATATCTTTCTGGCGGTTCGATTTCCTCTTCATCTTCGCCTAATGGTGAAGAGAATAGCCGTTGGCAACTATCCGAATATGATGCACTAAACATGCAAAAAGATGAGCTTACAGCCGAGCTGTATCAAGTTCAATCTGAGCTCAATAATTTGAAAGACAAAAACAGTCTCGTGCTGAAGCTTTACGAGATTGAGAAGTACGCCCAAAGTTGCAGGGCCGAAATTGTAAGCAAACACAAGGGAGTAATTTTTAGGAAAACTTATCAAATGAAAAGATCACCATACAAAAAGATGTGGAAAGTATTTTTGCCGCAATTGAAGAAACAAAAAGGCTGCTCGCCAACACTCAAAGGTCTCTGGACGAGTCTGGATTGGATGCAAGAATAGCCGTTTTAGAGCAAACGGTTGACAAATACAGAGCCAAGGCCTTTTCGGAGTTTTGTAAAGCCTGCAATGTCACCGATCTTGATATATTTGAAAGGGACAATCTTGAGGAGGCACAAAAGTTTGTCTCAAAAAAGCACTCTATCACTTCCTTGATATTGAAAATTTCGGAACAGTTACGATGTTGATCTTTGACCATCTAGGATTTCATATGAAGGCAAAAGCAAGTCCATGCTCTCCGCCAAAGTCTCCGACATTGTTGAGCAAATCTCGGTCTCTAAAGCAGCGATTGAGTCTTCTTCCACTTGTCTTTCAGAACTAAATGCAAGCAAAGACTTGTTGGCATCGGAGATCAAAAGCTATGAAGAAACGCTTTCTTCAAACAAGAATCAATTGCGGCTTTTTAATTCCGAGCTCGGCCAGTTACGGAGGAAAATTGAGCTTTTCAAGCAAGCCATACAAAGCTCCAACGACTTCATTTTTACAGAGGTAAGCTTGATTTTTTGGGACCTGACTTTATAGATCTATTTGTCTGACAAGTTTTTGCAAGACAAGTATGATGCTCTTAGGATGTGTCATTTGGACAACATCGACATATCTTTGATCCTATCACAAAAAGGCAAGAGACAGGCAAAGAAGAGCGCAACCTTATCCGATCATTTGGGAAGCTTTTTCGATGATGACTCAACGTCAAAGATTCTTATGGACGAAGCGGCAAAGGTCAAGCTGATCGAGCTTTTTTCTACCTTTGCTATTGACTTTTCCCCTTTGCCTTTAAATGAAAATACCGAATACGATGTGGAGTCCGAATCGAGGATCAAGGATTCACTTGCTGCTGTTAATGACCAGCTGGAATCAATAAGACCCAATCTGCAAGCATCTCATAAATGGGATGCCATTGAGTCAAAAATGAAGGCGGCCACTTCCTCTTATGATGAGGCTAGAAATTCGTACCGATCTGCCCTCTCTGAATTTTACAAAATTAAGCAGAAAAGAATCGATCTTTTCAAAAAGGCATTTGACCACATTTCTTCCAAGATCGACCAGATTTACAAGGAATTGACCATGGTGTCTGACTTGAAAATTGGCGGTACTGCTTACCTTTCTTTAGAAAACAACGACGAGCCATATTTGGAGGGCATTCGATTTAATGCCATGCCTCCTTTGAAGAGATTCCGTGATATGGAGCAGCTCTCCGGTGGCGAGAAATCTATGGCCGCTCTTGCCCTGATATTTGCTATCCAAAGGTAGGCTACCTGATCATAAATATGCTCTAGTTACCGCCCCGCTCCTTTTATCATATTGGATGAAGTAGATGCTGCCTTGGACAATTCCAATGTTGTTAGATTGGCAAACTACCTGTGCGGCGAGTCTAAACGTTCCCAGTGCATATTGATTTCGCTGAAAAGCCTCCTGTATGAAAAAAGCGACTCGCTGGTTGGGATATACAAGTCCGATTGTCTTGCCCAGCTCAGCTCTAGAGTGTT